TAATTGCATTAGTGTATGTGCATTTATGCTTAAGAATTATTTAATAAAACACTTGTCTTTAAATTTTAAAAGAAAAAAAAAACAATATAATTATTATTATAGAAGAAATACAATATTCAATTTTTAATGAAAACCGTATTAAATATTCTTCGCTCTTGTATATATTTATTACCCGTCTAGTTTGTGATAGCTCCATCACTTCAATAAAAATCTATACCATAATTTCTCCAACTTATGCACTTGTTAAAATATTTACGGCCCTTTCGAAAAATATATCTATATTATCATCTAAAGAAAAATCTTCACGAATGATAGTATTATCAACGGTTTCAGTAATATCCGATTCATTTCTACCCTCATCCGTGATCATCTTGTCAAATGAAGTCAGAGTCTTCTGATAATTCTTGCAATTTGTTTCAATTTCGCTCACAAGATAATCAGTGCAATATTGGCATTGACTCCCTAATTTAAATAAAAAACATTCAAAGTGATAAGCATGTCCACAAATCAGAATATAACCTACCTCGTATGAATATATGCAGTCCGCCAAGTCACAATACCTATCTTCTCGGGGAGGGTGTGCCGTATTCCAAGCCATCGCCAATATTTTAACATCGACTTGAGCTTCAAGTGTTGGAAGTTCATATATTTTGGGTTTTGAATGTACGTCGGATGAAATAACCTTTGATCTGCCAAGATTCCGATAGACACCTGTAAAGAAATTTAATAGGAAAAGCGCAGTCCGTTTTTCAAGATATTCTAGCTGTTTTGCTGAATATCTAATGTTGTGATTCTCAGCAAATACGCTCGTGAAAGAGTTGCCACCACGCATCTGATCGATTATCCGTGCCTGTTGAATAATCTGTTTCGCTGGATTTGATTCTTGTATTTGCCGTCGAAGTGAGCTGTGAAAGTTTTCCACGTAATAATCGTTAAAAACGTGAAGAAAATCCACAAGAGCTTGTGAAATCGGATGATTAGTACTGGCCCAGTAAAAAACATCACTTAAAAATGCCAATGGCAATTTGTTATAGTGTCTACGCTTATATTGAAAAAAAATAGTCCAAACACGAAATATTGCCTCTTTGTATGCCATCCAATTTCCACTACGAAATATGATGGGATAGAAATCTAAAACCAACGGGATGATATTGTCTAGCAAATTGATAAGATATCGGACTTCTGGATCTTTGGACTGTTCAAATTTCTGCAAGGTAATTAAACGCATTCGAGACCAACCTTGGGATGCAAGTTCAAGTAACAAGTTAATTTTGTAAGGTTTTGGCTTCTTCGCCAATACCTTTTGATGTCCGAATACCGCATGAAAGAGCTTGTCAAAAAATGTATAATTTTCAAGAAACACAGTTTCACGACTATTTAAGGATACATGCAAAGGTCCAATCATTGGAACGATATGCAGAATTTGTTCCAGTATTCTAGAAAGATCTCCGACTTTGATCCGATAGTTAATGGCACGCCGTACATGAAGTTGTCCAGGGTAATCCATAGGTGCCACTAATATTTGCGTTTCCACATATGTTCTTACTTCGGGAACATCCATTAAATGTTTAATGGCATCTACGTAATTATTAGTCGACCGAAGAGATCCTTCTTTTAAATCAACTAGTTTCGTGTTGTCCATACTTCGATCGACCTGGCGTTGTTCAATCCTATCATCGTAGCTATGGATTAAAAGACGCTCAACTCGTTCATCATGTGTCTCTGACAAAGATGTCAAATCAGTAAATGCTTGCTTTCGTCCTACATAACTAAGCCATAAATAAGGAAAGAAAGATATGTAAGCATTCGGTATAATAATATTTTCATCAATACCCTTTTCATTATAAACACCCCCTTCTTGATTAGAAGTATAAAATGGAATAGAAGCCGTTTCTGGCAAGGCCTTTAAGAGTATTGTAATAAAATGAGAGACTTCATGTGTAGTTGTTGTATCACTACGACGGTATTCATGAATATTATGAAAATCGTCTATGTTAAGAACAACCAAGCTTCTAATCTGTGAAAGATTAAAGATTAGTTGATTATTATAATCATAAGACTAAGAGATATTCGTATACTTACATTTTTCACTAAAAACTTTCCCACAGTCATCGTATGTGCTTCTGCATGCCGAGCTTTCTGTCTTGCAATGGTCTCACGTCTTATTGTCAAACCCGCACCAGCTAAAGTTTCTATTGCCGACGAAGATGCTCCAGATCTGTCTAATAAAAGCCCAACTTCTGCTTTAATTCCATTAATAAATTTATTGTTAAGTCCCGCAAGAAAATAACAAAATGAAACTAGTCTTCTCTCATTTTTCTCGTTAGTCATATGGTTTTTGACTTGCGGATTAGTTCCAGCTACCAATTGATCAAAAAAACCTTTTAATGACGGTTCAGCTTCTTCAAGCATTTTCTTGAACTCTTTCGGATCAAGAATAGGTCTTTCGTTATATACACGCTGTCTCGTGTATAACACCCCCGCCATCAGCTTAATTTTCTTGCTGAAAGGAATCGACTCTAAAGAATAATAATTATATCAAATAAGTTTTATGATATGTTAATCCGATTATAATAGTTATTAAAAGTTTTTTTTAAATAAAATTTAATTACCTAGCTTCGCTTCGTCAAGCTCTGCACATACTTCATAATATGCAAATTCCAGCTCCTGAAATTGAAATTGAGAGTAAATAATATCGCTTCGTAATACATATGACCTATCTTGAAATTTTCTTATATCCTCTTTCGAAATCCTTTCTATTGGCAGTAGATAGTTGGGCAAATTAACATATTCTGAATCGTCATCAGTTTTGTATAAGCAATGACGACACATCATTGCCTCTTGTGATAATTCGAAGAAGTTGATTAAACGTTCTGGCACCTTCTTTATACTTTTCGTTTTCGTACCGTGTCGAGCTGCAGAAAGATAAAACTGGTGCTTTGGATGTGAACATACCTTGTTGGTTTTGGCTTTTTTAGCATTTACTATTAATTTATTGTAATGCTTTCTGCATAAAGCCTTGCCGACCAAGTCAAGATGTTGACTCAAACTTGGTATCAATACCCGATTGGATACAATAGACACACCGTGCTGCTCATAATCGCAGATAACACCCTCCTGACCTTCCAAATCACAGTGTTGTGCCTTCCTTTTTCCTTTTTTTTCGTTGGAGAGAATTGGATCTTCGTGAAGAGTTGCTTGTGCAGACATTCTTGCCCTGTATTCTTTTTTCTTGGTAATACCTGTAATAAAAGTGTAAGTAAATGCTTCTTAGCTAGTTTCTGAATTACCGCGCTGTTTTCCGAATTATTTTGACAGTTTATAGATTGAAAGATATCCTTTTAAATTATTTTGGTCACAAGCTTTGCCAATTCGTATTTGTGGCTGCCAATCAATTTTTGTGATTGAAAAAC